GGACTTCCGCGGTGAGCAAGATGTGGACCTCCGCTTGGCGCTTTCTGAGGGCGTCGCTGGGGAATGTAGTTGCAGGATCCGTAGGGTGTCTAAAAGGTCTTCTGGAGTCTTGCAGGTGTAATCTCTGGACTGGTATCGGAATCGCACTGCGAAAGGGAAGCTCCACCTATATTGTATAGCGTGGTGTTGGAGTACTTGTAGGTGGGGTTTCATTGCCCTGCGCTTGGAGATGGTTGCGGGGCATAAATCTTGGAACAATTGGTAGGTATGACCTTGGAACTGAAGAGATTCTGCGTTACGGGCAGCCTGCAGGAGTTGCTCCCTGGTGCGGAAAAAGTGGAGCTTGGCTATAATATCGCATGGTGGACCATCCGTGCGTCGTGGTGCTAACGCCCTGTGAACTCTATCCAATTCTAATCTGTCAATTGGGATAGCTGGAGCGAGCTCTTGGAACAGAGCTGTTATCGTTGATTGGACATCAACAATCGTTTCCGGGAAGGCCACGGATACGCAGGTTTGAGCGCCGTGATCGGTTTTCAAAGTCCTCCAGTCGTGTTAATAATGTTGCGTTCTCGTCGCGCAGAAGATCGAGGTCATCCGTAAGCGTCTGAAGCGAAGCGTCAAGACCATCTACCCTCTGTTCTAGGTCCGCAGTGCGCTGTCCTAGCTCACGGATTTCCCTAGAAAGTGTGGCAGTAATGCGGTCCGAGGTTTGCTTCAAAGCTTTGTGTAGCATTTTTTCAAATCGTGATAAAAGGTCAGTGGGTGTAAGATCAGGCGTCATGGCTTGTGCAGGGACATCTGTCTCATTGTCGGACTCACCCTCAGACGTGCAGGGATGGCTGGGCTGCGGATCCTGCAGGGCTGCATATGCCCCTGCTGCTTGCTTGCTTCCACGTGTTGGAGCGGCGGCCATCTTTGTGGAGGCCTTTGCCAAGGCCTCTTTAATAGTTTTGGTCGATAGGGGGACCTGATGTCGGGGTGCCCCTTTGACCATTTTGCTGTTTGCTAAGGGGGGGGCTGTTATACTATGCTCAGCCCCCCCTGCTCTCTCCTTCTTCACCGCAGTCGCGGTATGCTGTGTGCAGCGGTGGGCGGGCTTATGGCGGCTCACAGTGGAGACCCAGTCCCCTGTCGGATTTCTCCGACCTGAAGCTGAGGATCCCCCTCAGACCCGGGCGGATCAGGACCCGGGGTGGTTGCCATGGGGATCGGATCCCCCTTGAGTGATTGCGGGCCGGGACCCGCTGCAATAGAGCGCCGTCACCCGACGGGGAGACGGAGCCTCACGGGGACATGTCCGTCCCGCCGGCCGCGCATGCGCACTCCGTTTATGGTATTTCTAAGTCTTCTTCAGGTTTGATTACTGCAATGTGGATAACCCATAATTGCCATACACACCTTTTGGTGTATATAAATTTTGAGGAAAATATTGTTATGGTGGATTTTCTATTTTTTGTGCTTAATGGCTCCAGAGGAAGCTACACTAACCTGCCTTATTATAATACACAAAGGACTTCTTATTTTTGAACAATCTTTTAGTTATATCAGGCGTGTGCATGTAACAGTCCGCTGACAATACATAACGATTACTCAGTTGTCTCATTACTAGGAGCTGTTATTCCCTTGACTGTAAGAAACAGAAATATAAAGAGTTGTCAAGAGTCAGGGTGTTACTTACTATGATACTAGGAGTGACGTTGCTCTAACAGGTACAAAATGTCTTGAAATTTACTTTTTATATACTTTTATATTTTATTATTAGTTTTTTGGGGGGTCTTTAGGCAATTTTTTTCCATTGGCACATTTTCAGAGACACTCCAGCCATAAAAATGCCATACTCAGGGGCAGACTGACAACTCATGGGGCCCCCGGGCAATAGGGGATCATGGGGTCCCTGTGTCTTTGCCCAAACTCAAAAAAGCCTATGAAAAAGGTACCAGGGGCATCTCATGGGGCACCCTACTGACCCCGGGCCCTCAGGCAGTGCCCGAGTTTCCAAATGGTCAGTCCACCCCTGGCCACACTATTATATCAAGATTGGAAATGCAATAGGCTGAGAGAATAAAAGAGGACAGAGATTGTAAACTTACTAAAACTATTGGTTAAAGACTGCAGACAAGATATGGGTATGGTTCGAGACTAGAGCCAAACTATAGGAGACAAATAGTCAGACACTGGGGGCATGTTACACGGGACTGCTAGAGAACACTGCCATAAAGTCCCCCTGTAACACCCTACTAGGTAGCTAGGGAGAGCTCTAGCTTCAATTGTTAGACAGAGCAGCAGCTCAGGTGCAACAGTCAGGGGTTAAATTTGGATCAGACCTGAGAGGCTCTGCAGACCAGCCCTTTGAGATTTCTCCCTGTTCTAAAACTTTGGAGAAACATCTAGAAGCAGTGGACGGATTTGAGGCTCGTCTTTACACTTAGAGAATCCTGGCCAATCCCCAACAGGAGGCTTGGCAAAGGGCGGGGACAGCCTTTAAGAGTAACTGAGCCTGCTCAGCTGCAGGAGAGTAGAAGAGGAGTTCGGGTGGAAGAGAAGGATGTGAGGCTGAGGAGCAGGAGCCTGGGAGGGGGCCCTGATGAAAGAGGGGCTCATCTCCAGGCTGGGACCTTGGAAGGAGGAAAACTCAAGACTTCATCCGCCCCCTGAAAGAGGATCACTTGTGCAGCAGGGAAGGTGGGACCCAGCAAGAAGGCCTAGTAGAGGCCACCAACCCACCAGCAGCACAGGAGGACTGAGTAAGTAGACCTGCACCCCCTGAGCCAGATAGTGGGAAACTGGATTAGCCTGCCACCCAGGACTGTTTCACCCTATACATGGCAGACACTGAATCCCTTGTCCAGGGATTCCTCCAGACAGCCAGATAGAGGAGTATCTAGGGTCTGGGGTGGCACTACAAGAGACGCTGGCTAGCTTTCCAAAAGAGACTGTTTGCTGTGACTACTTTTACATAGTTCAGGAAGTTCCACTGGACATCCCGTACACCCCTTACCTTATCAAAGTTATAAATCCCCTAATAAAACTTCAAAAAACAACCTCAAGATTACTGATTCTTGGATGCAAGTAGATGTGAAAATGCATGTTGACTGGCTGTGCAGGGCTATAGGGGGACTCAAAACTTCAGCGACTCCTAAGGGGGTAGTGTTACACCCCTTTACAAAATTAACACTTCCACTACTCACTGCTGAGATTCAAGGGCAGATATTACCTACGATGGTGCAGTGGGTCCTGTGTTTCTCTTTGCTCATGACAATGCCCGGCCTCATGTGGCGAGAGTATGCAGGCAGTTCCTGGAGGATGAAGGAATTGATACCACTGAATGGCCTCCACACTAGCCTGACCTAAGTCCATACGATGCCGTCAGGTTGCATCTAGGACTGTCCAGGAGCTCAGTGATGCCCTGGTCCAGATCTAGGAGGAAATCCCACAGGACACCATCTGTTGTCTCATTAGCAGCATGCCCCGGCGTTGTCAGGCATCCATACAAGCATGTGGGGGCCATACCAACTACTGAGTACCATTTTGAGTTGCTGCAATGAAATTTCAGCAAAATGGACAAGCCTACTGCAAGGATGGGGCATCCTTATGTTCCTAACACATTGCCCAGTCCGTATCAGTATAGATATCCAGCATATTTATCCCATTGAGATCTGATGTGTTTTCAAAGTGTTCCTTGAATTTTTTTTTAGCAGTGTGTGTGTATATATATATATATATTCTATCCTATTCATTCCATTTAATTAAATTACATTAGGCACACACTCAGTGACCAATCATTCCATATTAAAGAAAATTTCAAAACTTTATTGATACTAGTTGTATAGACAGTAGTTAAAGCCTAACTTTAGGTTTGTCCCCATCCTTCCCCGTCCTCAAACCACTACTTGCTGTACTTGCAGGGTATGTACTATATTTCTAGGTGTCTTCTGGCCATTTACATGATAAGCCTCTCCTTCTGCTCTAGTATTCTCTTCTAGTATTGGCCTTGGTCAGTCTGCAGTTCTCCATATAACAGCGCTCACCTTGTGATTCATGAACACTATTCTCTGTAGCACTGCACCATAGACCCTGGAGTGTTGAGAGAATGAGTATTGATTTTTTTTATTTTGCTTGTCAAGTGGTGGCAAAAGACTGTGGAGGAAGTAATGCCCTAAGGGTGAATGTGGGCTTTAAATCCTATTTGTCTTGTGATCTCCAGGTTATGGTAAAGAAGAATCAAACAGCAGTCACAGAATTTCTCCTCTTGGGTTTTGGAGACCTCCATGATCTCAAAATTTTACTCTTTGTCCTCCTTCTGGTCATTTATATCATGGCTCTAACAGGAAATGCCCTTGTAAGCATTTTGGTTATGGTCAGCAAGAACCTCCATTCTCCCATGTATGTCTTTCTGAGCCAGTTGTCCTTGTCTGAGATCCTCTTCACCAGCAATATTCAGCCCAGTATGTTATGGTTGACACTGGTAGGTGGTGGAAAAATGTCCATTACCAGATGTTTTTTTCATTTCTATCTGCTAGCAGCATGTGGAATCACTCAGTGTCTGCTTTTAATTTCCATGTCCTTTGACCGATACCTGGCCATCTGCAAGCCATTGCATTATACTGTCATTATGACATGTAGGCTTCAACTTCAGATTGTCAGTTTATGTTGGTCAATGGGATTAATGCTGTCACTTGTAATATATGTTTTCTTATATAGGTTAGAATTCTGTGGTCCAGACACCATCAACCATTTCTACTGTGATGTTGCTCCTGTTTTGGAACTTTCATGTTCAGATATTTCTTCTGTTAAGCTGGTCACTTCCATGGTGTCCACTCCTCTCATTGTCTGTCCATTATTGTTCATTGTTGCCACCTATATTTTCATCTTCCACACCATCCTGAAGATCTCTTCATCCATCAAAAGGCAGAAGGCCTTCTCTACCTGTAGCTCCCACCTCACTGTAGTTTGTCTTTACTTTGGAAGCTTGGCATCTATATATATTTTTTCACCAAAAAGCAATTCCTCCAATACAAGCAAGTACCTATCTTTGATATATATCTTGGTGACGCCATTTTTCAACCCTGTGATCTACAGCTTGAGGAACCAGGATATTAGAGGGGCCATTATAAAATATATTCACATTTTGGGCTCATGGCAGCTAAAATAGAGCTTCCAGAAACAATTTTCTGAAACAAATGGCCACACATAAAGGCCCAGTCCATCTATTTTCATTTCTGTTAGATGGAGCCTTAAACCACCTGATAGTTTCTTCTATTGCATGGAGACTTGGTGAGAACACTGCATTCCTTCTATGCTCATCATAAGGATACCCACTATCCATGCTTGCATTTTTATAAAAATTTGAGGGAATGTAACAGTAGTTGAAGGAACACACAAAGGTAGATGGGTACACCAAACCCCCTAGCTGGACAGTAGTCAGAAATAAAGGTAGGGAGATTTTGGATATGGAATATCCAAGACGTATAAGAAGCTAGGGATTGAATCAGATCGCCAAGGTCCATCTGTAAATAAAATATGACTTTCTGAAAAAAAGAATCCTTATTCTGTTTTTTACTTTTAGTTTACACTTTACTGTAGAAGTTTTACCTGTTATAAAGCAAAATATTTATAATTGATTTAATAGCGTGAAAACATCATGTATCCAAAATGGCTTTCCAAATCTATTCCTCATTTACAGTATGTGTATACCCATCATTTCAAACCAGACTGACAACATCTTTCTCTAGATGTAAAAAAATTTGAATGGAAAGATAATTGTGAGTGGCTCGTTCTGCATCAGCTTGTAGGAAAGTCCTCTGTAGCTGTTTTACATTGTCAAACTCTGCAGCTGGGGCCTCATCTGTTCTGTTTTCCAGGGCACACTCTGTAATTTGTATCTGTCCAAACCTACGCAGAATCACTGCTCTGCTTTCAGTTGCACGGATGCTGGTTTCTTGCCCCATCCCCCTGATCAAAGTTCATAACAACCTCATATACCCCAGCAACCTCTCATACATTGCCCTGCAATTTGCCATGGTTCACATTAGGCCTTTGGGAGTCCAACCAAACACCTGTTGCCCATGTCATGTCAATGTGTGTTCCATGAGGGGGTTCTCTCTTGCCACCAGGAGAAAGACTTCTCTGCACTAACCACCATCTTCTCCTTAGCTGATAAGGTTTGATCCTGAAAATTAGAAGTCAACACACATTGATACTTTATACCTTTTAATAAGGTAATTTACAGACATGGAACCATATAAGTTGGAAGTTATATACTTTATCAAGCAGAAAAGTAATGTCTGTCAACAGAGCACTCTTTCCAACAGCAATATAATATAAGTTTACAGACCACCGAATGTCTGGGGAGCATGTCTGGGGAGTAAAGGGAAAACTGCTCCTTCCCTCCTCTTCAGGTATCATTCCCTAACTCTGCTCCTAATCTCCCACCAACCCAGTGGGGTTCTGTTCCTTACTTACTTCCACAATATGGGAGCACCAGAATGATATACAGTATAAAGAGCTATTAAGCACTTCTGTGTCAAAGATGGCAGCCCAAATCTTTAGACAACCAATAACATAGTTATCAATATTTAAAAACAGTTTTTAGGGACACCTTTTTCCTGTGTGTCTATTAAAAATGAATGGCACCCAAACACACATTGTGCATTTTGCCATGATTGTAGTAGCTCAGTATCAGGAGTGTGGAGAGTCTGGGTGGAAGAAGGAGAGTTGGAGGAAGATTGGTGAGGTTGGAGGAGGAAGGCTGCCAAGAGACCTAGCGAGATGGGGCCTGCCTGCGAACCTGGAGCTGGAAAGGCAGAAAACGTGGAGCTCACTGGTCCCCTGAGAAAGGACCACTTGTATGGCAAGGAAGAAGCAGCCCAGCTGATAGGCCTGGTATGTGCTTTTGAACACATGTGCAATGTTTACTATGTTTGCTGCCCTGTGGGGGTGTGCTTTGTGCCCTGCTATTGCCCATGGGGAGCAGCATTGTACCCAACATTCATATTTCCATTGCTACCCAGCTATTCAAGGATGGCTGGAAACCTATATCCAGTGCCAGCTAACAAACTGTCTACGCCCTGCCAACAGGATACAGCCATCACTGTATCTGCAGTTCAGTATATACATCCTTAGTCGGGACATTGTGGGTTATTCCAATAGCAAGAAAACCCCAGTAAGGCACAAGAAGGGGCATGGCAATGCCCATCGGCAAGTCCAAGTTCACACCCAGACGCCTGCCCTTAAAACCGCACTCTACACCCACCACATGGAGAGGGAGCATAAGTAGAGAAAGATGGAGGGCATCTTGCCGGTATACTCAAAAGTTTACCAACCCAAACTGATCTTGGTGGACAAGGGAGTCCGTCTTGAGCATTGTGGCTACTTTGCTCTTGGAATGATCGAGGACACTGAGAAGCTATGCCTGTCTGCTGCAGGAGGCTGACCGCACTGATCGGAACTTGGGTCAGGTGTGGACATTATGGAGAGCCTTTGAACCAACTTCTGCACAGCGATCTGGCACTCGTAAATACAATGTGGATCTACAGACAGGGCTCTGCACAGAAAAGCTTTAAAGCCGAAGCACCAGAGGATGTTCAGAACCTCTTATTCCAAGGGTCTTGGGATTGCGACTTCCCCGCCACCTTTTTAGACCCTCACAGCGCAGAAGGGTCGCACACTGCTACTCCCTGCTTGGAAGAAGATGCCAGAGAGCCAGTGTCTATGAGTACTGTTTAGTCAATGCCTCGGGCCAGCTGGCCTCGCTCACCTGCCCTGACCTCTCTACATGGAAGGAGCCTAGCTGCAGGGATGACCAGTCCTCAGGTGAGCCAGGGTAGAGTGTTAGTGGTGGGGAGGTAGATTGTAAGTCAGACAGCTTGCGAGGTTCGGGCCCTTGGAGATTGAGCAGGAGGGATGGTCTTCAGAGGAAACGGAGAATGGGACTGGGGAGATACCACAGTAGAGCTGGATTCATTGATGGGACCATCAGAACCCCATACACACCAGACTCTGCTGGACAATCATGTTGGTCAGGGCATAGGAAGTAATCCTGACAGGTTCTACTACCTAAACCCTTTGCCTCACTCTGGCCTAGGAACAGGGCCAGAGATACTGATGTGTAGGACTACAGGGGGAACCAATTCATCAGCAACCCTAAGTGGTTAGTACTACACTTGATTTCCAGGATGCAGCTGAGGTCAAAGTCGTATTGAGACAGCTGATTAAAATCTGTGACTGTCCCAGCTAAATAAAGACATTTGGCAACTATGCAAAAGGAGACACTGATCTCCCCAAGATGACTGTCTGGAGCCAATAACACTGTTCAACAAATTTTTATTTTTTGCCAGTTTTGGAAACAAAAGGATCCATTTCTTAATGAATTTCACATTCTGAGTTCAAATATAACAATGAAATTTGTCAATTGGCTCTAGTTTTTCTGTAAACGGAAAGTTTTCTACTATAGGCGTAATGACTACATAATGCAGATAGATGTCTTTCCACAAATATAAAGCAAGTGATATTGACTACATAACAAAGCCTAAATGGCATAATATATTGCATAGGATTACCAAGAAAAATTATAGCCATAAGCTAAGTTGAATCATTTTAATACTTAGGATTCTCACTAGTTTTGTCTTCAGTTTGTGTCGGTTTTGCTTCTCTTGGCTTTTCTCTTGTATTCGAGGAAAGGGCTATCTCTTACAACTGCACGTGACTACATGCTTCAGGTTCTTCCTCACTTGACTCAACCACGAAGGATTCTGGTGCTTTAGGAATTGGTAGCCCCTCTCCATGAGGAACTGGACGTATTGCCGATGGAATATTTGGATAGTGCACAGATAACTTTTTCTTATTTAGCCCTTTTACAATTGGAGGCACCATACAAAAGTAACAATTACTAACATGATCTGTTGGCTCTCTCCAAATCATTGGCACAGCGAAAGGCATAGATGCCTTTTTTCCATTCAACCATTGCTCCAGTGCCGTCCCACAAGAATTGCAGCATATATGTGGTGCCCAGCTCTTGTCCTGGTCTCCTATCTTGCAGCCAAAATACAAGTTGTAGGCTTTCTTAATCATTCCTGTTATCCTCCTTTTTTGTGAGATAAAAGTTATTTCACCGCAGATATAGCAGAAATTATCTGCTTTATTCACACAAGTTCGAGGCATTACTGAGTAGCCTATATAAGCATAAAACGAAATGTAAAGACGCTGTCGAACTACAATCAGCTACAGATACTGCAGCTTTTATGCAGTGAAGTGATGCAATTAAAGGCTAATATTGCATCATCTCAGTATACATGCAATTTTCTATTGGTCACCAGTATCAATTGCGCAATATGCAGCTGAAGTTGCATCATAATTTTGAATGGCTTACGTCATTAGATGGGTGAATATATCATGGAAACTAGAGCCAATCAACATTTTTTAGGGTCATTTTCGTTTTCAGCACCCCAAAATTATGTAAGATTAGCTAATTTTCTGCCCAAAACTTTTTACCTGTTGAACAGTGTAATAGGGAACTTAGAGCTTCTGCCAGCCATAAAAAGTGATACAGTATCATCTTCAGACCAGCAGACAAACTGCAGCCCATCACTTGCCTACAGCATTGCATAGGCAAGGCACTGGTTTACTTTAAAATGTAAGTTCACCTTTTTTTCATAAAAAACAGAAAGCTGAAATAACATTGTACACCCTCCCCACCTCCAGTCCCCTCTGCACTTGCCTCCATGGCTGATTAGCATTCACTGCCTATGCAGCCAGTGCAGTGGTTCAGGGATTTTAAAGCTATGGTCTGTTTTAAGGGATGCAGATGGATCTTTGTGATTCTGGCTGGTCAAAGAGTTCACATGTCAGCTAATGACCAATCAGAATCACTCTCATCTGTCCTGGCAGAAGTCCAAGGATCTGAAAGCTGCAATCTTCTGCCAGGATGGATCTGAGTGATTCAGATTGGTCATTTGCTGGCACATGACTTTTGAGCAAGCAAAATCACTCTATTGTATCTTAAAAGAAATAAGGAAAAGAACAGAGGTTTTCAAATCCATAGACCCCTGCACCGTCTGCATGGGCAATGAAAGTTATCCTCCACAAAGGCACAGTAAATGTAGCAGGGACTGGGGGTGGGGTAGAATGAACTTACACTTTTAAGGACATATCACT